TTTTGCATTATGATCTTTAATATCTTGGAAAATTACATTATGAAATAGTATTTATAAGAAATGACTACTATATATTTGTTCCAGATTTGAACTTGTTACTTTTTATGTTTTAGTATATTATTTTAAAATACTCTCCTTATGGCTTCAAGTAATATACAAGACCCAAAAATAATATTTGTAAATAAACCTAAATAATAAATATTTTTATTGTTAACTAGGATTTCACATTTATTTATGTAGATTATAAAACATTCTAATTTTGTTTCATAAATGTATTTTTATTTCATGTTTATGTTTCATTGCAGCCATACTTTTGTTTATTGTGCTGAATAAATCATGAGGTTAGCAGCGTGAACTTTGTACATTTGCCGTAAACTATCATGCCTGTTGGTGGTCACTCTCGTTCAGTCCAGCGCAGGTGCATTTCAACATTACCGTAGATATGATAGTAAGAAAGCTTTTTGGTACTTGAGTATCATTTCTTTGAACTTTCAAACAAGTTTACTTCAACATATGTCCGTGTATGTTGTTTCACTATATAGACAAAACTAATTGCCACTACTAGTGAATTATTGAAGTACACAGTTAAAAAAACAAAATAAAACAGGGAAGTATCTCTAATTTGTGTGTGGAACTATATATATACAAATAAATGAATTTTAAGAGCCAAAAGTTCCATTATAGTCAAATTTCTTAAGTTTATTCCAAGTTGAAGAAGTTAATCAAAATCTCTAAACAGAATCTATAAAATTCTCATACTTACATTTCAGCTAAGTCTGAATCTCAAACATGAGCAAAATCTCTGTAAAATAAATTTTCGTCAAATCAAAATGTGATGTTATAAACAAATGATGATCAGCTACATAGAAAAAAAAAATATGCTGAAGACTAAAAGACAACTGCTGAACATATATAAGAAACAGAAGATTACATTTGAAAGTAGGTTGGTAGAACTTCTGATTGGTAAAACTGAAAGAAAAGCTTTCTTCAAACTTGAAGTCATTATAAAATGAATTGGAAATGAGAAGCTTCGAATTAGGATATTTGATGCAGGCAGTGCAGAACTGAGAACAATGGAGAATCGAAGTCATTCATGTCAGAACTGGGGAGGACAAGTGATTTATTGAACAAGGTTTGGACATGAAAGACCATGGAACAAATTAATAGCAAAAAAAAAATATTTCTTGTATAACATGGAAAATAACTGACAAGGGTAGTTTTAAATTATGAATATGATACAGATGTGTGTGTGTCACATACAGATCATTCTGATAATCAGTTAGTACTAGCACTGACTCAGTTTAAAGTTCTTTGGGCACATTCCACGAGTTCCACATATAATAAATTGGAAGTTGAACATATTAAATATTTACAGAACTAAATCCAATGTACTTGGTAATTTTGAGTAATATGGAACAAACCCAGTAACATATATTTATAGATCTACTATTTCTTACTTACTATTATTAATAAAGTTATCTATTATTTTTTTAATGTATTTTGAGATACTTCCACAGACTTAAACTAATTTTGTTTACACCTTTCCCTTAACCCTGTTTTAACTTAAACTTACAGCTTTTATTTTTTGCACTGTAAGGATTATTAAAAAGATTCCTTTATTGTTGAATTTTAACTAAGTATTTGTAAAATCTTTCATAATATAAAATCATCTAAATCTTTTTCTAAGTACATAACATAAGTAATGGATAACATAACAGCACAGGTGGTATACTTAAGCCATGGAATGGACAAACTTTGTGGGAATTTAATTTGAGGTCTACAAATCTCCCAACCTAAATTTCTGAATTAAGCCTTGTACATGACCATTGTATAGCACTATAAACCAATTCCATTAAAACTTTCTTAATCAAGTACTACAAAATTTAGTCTAGTACACTCTTATATTGTATTAAGATAAATCTGATATCAACTATAAACTGTTTTTGATGAGCTTTCTTTTTCTAATCTGTGTTTCACAAGCATGTGTAAATGAGGTTTGAAGAGTTTTGCAAATGTCCCAATGAATTTGTTGCATCATATGATTTTACAAAATAAACCCTAAAATCAGTAGAAAAAAAGCAAAAGCAAGTATTATACATACTTGTTTTATTCAAACAGTAAATATGGTGTTATGCACTTTAAAATGGCTGTGTAAATTTTATATCATTTACTTCCATCCATATGATGGTATGTTTCTGGTATTCTGCCATTGTGCTTAATTAGTAATTTTTTCTCCACTCAACTTATCCATTTTATGTAAAACATTAGTGTAATAAAGCAACAGAGAATGTTCAGGTATGTTGAATAAAATATACACATCAGCTGTAAAATTTATATTTTCAGATTTTTATAGCAATGGATTTATCAATTTTTCAACTCACAAAAGTATCAAATAACTGAAAGCATATTTGAAGCTTCTCAATGTTCATTAATTCAAATATTTTTAATGAAGACAACAGAAACAGATATTTAAATCCAATATTTGTGCAGTTACAAAAAATGTATGTGTTAGAGCTAAACATTTGTGGGGCAAAATATACTACTCAAGATTCTAAGTTAATCATTTTTTTTTCAACACTGAAATTAAAGGCATAAAGCATCCTTGTTCTTAGTGCACACAGAATAAACCATACTTTTCTTCATGCAACCCAAGTACTCTTCCGTAGATGAGCCAAACTTAATGTGAAAAAATGTGCCATTTATAATCTTGAACATGCAAACCCTATTTATGAAAGTTTTATCTCATGTCAGTAATAACTATATTGTTGAAAGAGTTACACAGTTTTTAGCTTACTGAAATAATTTGAATAATTTTAGTATTTTAATAAAAACTTAAAATCAATTCAAAAACATTCACAGCAGGCATCTGCCTTTCAGTGACACCAATTAATCAATTAACATTGATTCTTCAGGTAATGTACAGTATTACACATTCCAAAAATAACTGGTAGCTTGTTTGCTGTTATGACCCAGTCATACACATACAAAAACAAAGACATTAAGTGTTGATTTCTTCAAACAAGTTTCTTGGCCTCAAAGAAACTCTTTAAATGCCTCATCTGCCAGAAACCCATGACTAGGAGAAAAAATGTTTGAGCCACAGCCCACCACAAAACACGTTGGTTTGTACTCTCACTGGTTTGACGAAATCTTTCCTCACGATACTGTAAAACAAACAAGTAATAGGTATATACATACTTGTATAATTGAAGCAAGAATATTGCAACTATAGAATAACAATATAAAAGTTTATAAATAAATATTTTTACACCTGTTTTTCTGTTTATTTTTTCAGATAACTTATTGTTTTAGCAGGTTTTTATATACTCTTGCCAATTTAATAATTTGATTTAATTCCATAAAACAGAAATAAACCAGGTTTTTATATTTTTTGGCAATTCAATAATTTAATTTACTTATAAAAATTATAAAAACAAACCAAGATAATTTAATAAAAATTATGGCCTCATTTGGACTAACTGTAATAACTATTAAGTACAAGGATAAAGTGAAAGCAAGCAATGAAGACCGAGAAAAATGTGTTGAAATAAAAATATACAGATAAGTGTAAAATTACTTCTTTATTAAAGTAAAAGCAAAAAATCCATAAGAAGTGAACATTTGGATGAAGTAAACAAAATGACAAAAAACAGAAAATTGCCTGAAAGTTAAAACACCTTCCACTTCTTATTCACTGACACTCAAGCTAACATAACACATATGCTTGTATATTTTACAGTTTTTGTTTTTTTTTACATGATATATATTAGAACTTTTTCTGGCATCATATTAGATTTAAAGCCACTAATTTATTATTTAAAAAAGCAATGATTTGCATGTACCACAGTCATGAATCCTTCCAAGTAATGTGATCCAAAAAGGTTTTTTCATAAAAATAATCAGTCTGTATTCTGTGAGCAATGATACTCTACAAAACTAATTCTTACATACAAATTCACATCCTTGAATACCAATAGCAGTTAGCATCAAAAGTGGGAACTTCATAGAATCAAATCTTAAGCCATCTACCACAAGCTAATAATGTTTGTACAAAATAAAACCAGGTCCTTTATCTATGATCACTTACTTAAAGTAAAGATAGTCTAACAGATTTTAAGATCAATACAATAAGCTCATACATGTATTGCCAATAACAAACACAATTGTCTTCAGATCAGGATCACAGCTAAAAGTGTTTTAGTCTACAATCATGGTTTACAGTGGTTATATATACATACACTTGACATACCAGGCTAACCTGGTGCTCCAACTAAACTGATTTTAGGTTCAGAACCACACACAAAAAATACAAGTTTTCTATGTGATCAGATAAAATCTTCACAGCCATAAGTTAACAGTAACCCTATGCTATAAGAAACTCTTACAATATCTGTATGAACATTTTCTTTCAAAAATAGGATTGCTGTCAACTATTAAAACACACACATCTCCTATATCTATAATGTAAAACTGTAGCCAATTTAGCTTGACTTTCGCAGAATTCTGTTTTTACAACAAATGTCTGAATTTGATCCCACTTTTGACATCAAATATAATCACTCCATGTTAATAGATGGAAGTCAAAATTACCTCCTGTATGCATATCTAGATCTTTTGCTTACACAAGTGGTACAATACTGAGTTACATGCAGTTGAGAACCATTTTGTTGGGTCTGACATAACAAGGAAACACTAAATAAGATCTTTCCTACTAGGCTGCATTAAGAAAGTTGCTTTTACAAAAGTCAAACTGTGTGTTGAACAAAGAAAGTGCTTTTCCTAATTCCTGTAGTCTAACTTGCCATCAAAGGTGTTTATTCCCATGGTAAATCCTCAATATTTGAGGGTGAACAGAAAGCAGTCCTCAAAAATCAAAGAAGAGGAAGTTTCATAGTAACAGATTCACCAGAAACAAACAATCGAGAGAAGAGAAGATTGGTAAGCTTAGTTGCCACAAGTTGTTGGTACTCATAGTGCAACTTCAACTTCTGAGCAAGATTCCTTGGTGCAAAGTGCTTTTAAAAGAAAATTTGGTCTTCTGTATGCTTCTGAAGGGATCTTGCCAAAGAAAAGGAAATATTACACAAGATTGTATCCAAAATGGTAGTATGTTTGTTGATAAGGACACTTTGTCAGAAGTAACAAATGAGTTTTGCTACTGTTGGTGTGAGGAAAAGTTGAGCTCAGAAATTACCAATAGAAATGGACTTGCTGCTACTTTAAAATTTGTGTGCAAATGAATGAACTGTCACAACGAGAAAGTCTGGCATACAAATTAAAAAATGAGAAAGAATTTGTTTGCTATCAACAAGTAGTTTTTGTATGCTATGTCATGCATAGGGAAAGGTAGAACTGCTGGAGAATTGTTTTGTGGTGTTATGAGCATGAACCCACCAAGTACACAGAAGTCTTGGGACAAGCATTTTACATCGTTTTTGAATGTCACTAAAGCAGTTGCCAGAGAAAGCATGAAAAGGCTCCTGGAGATTTGCAAAAGGATGGCAAAGTTACTGAAACATATGTGAGTATTTGATAAATGTGACCACCTGCCGCACAGGTTCCTGTGATTCCACCAAGTACAAAAGAGAATTTACAGTATCTTGGACTATCAAATTCAGTCCATGACCAGAACAGTAGCTGAAGGTACATTTTGGATGTTCATTTAAAATTTGTGTTGCTACTCCACTTTTTTAACCTTTTGTTGTAATGGTTCCATCCTAACTCTGTGGACAAGCTTCATTAATATCTAAACCATACAGTAATAGTCCTTGTTTGATTGTATTTGTAATGTTTCCAGCTGTCGCATTAGTGAGAACAAAGTATGCTATCCATTTTTCATATGCATTTAAATCATCATCGACATCTTGTACACAAGCTTAATTGCTCCTGATATGCAGTCAATAACTTCATCACAATGATACCAAAAAAAATGGTTGTTGTTAATAGCTTCCACAACATTATGGAGTACATTATGAGCTATGAGTTCCATGAGTTCATTGTGTGAAACCCAACTGCAGTATTTATTATGGACATGTGAAAAATGATATCTATTAAACTGGGGGTTGTGTTTTGATACCAGCTTTAAACATTCCATAAAATTACCTTCATTAGCTAAACCTTGCTTTCCCAAATATATAATAGCATCAAAAATTACCTCAAATACCTTCCTAGTTGCCTTGTGTTTTTCAACTTTTTTGCTGCTAACATACTTTACCATTGTGTCTTGAGTTGCAATATAGATTTTTGTAGTCATGCATTCTCTATGACTCTGAATTCTGTCATGCTTTTGGACACCATCCTTGCCATTCTAAAATCATTCCATCCTATCACAAATGGAGATGTGGAAACTGAGGAATGCTGTGATGGAAGTAAGCGATTACTTTGCATGGCTCACGTATATACACGTACATATCATTTGTATCACACCTGTATTCAACATATGGGAAGAGGGTTTCCAACTGTCCTGGAAAATTCGGCCTTTTTGTTTTTTGCTGCTAATGTTTTTGTTACTACTGTGGATGTTAATTCTGCACATTGTGATGTTGATACTGACAGGTTTGTTGTTATTGAAGTGGATGTTGATTCTGCACATTGTGATGTTAATATAGGTTTGTTATTATTGAAGTGAATGGTATTTCTACACAAGGCACCAATATCGGTGGGTTTATTATTACTGAACTTATTGTTGATTATGCACATGATGCTACTGGCTTTAGAAATGCTGTCTAAACTGCCTGTGAAGTTATGTTTCTTTGAAGGAGCCATTTATCTAAAAAATTAGACAAAAATATTGGCAAAATTTTTTGTTTTGGATAATTTAAGAAATGGTATGTACATAAAGCTATAAAAATAATTATTAGGTTCAACACTTGTCTCATGGGACTAAGCCTTATAGTAGGTATATATTTGAACTCTAGGTCTTTAGTACAGTTGGTAAATTGCTAAAAAGCTATACGATAGTCACAGTGGTAATTATTAATTATGATTTAATATCCTACATGGTACCTATAACTCATTGCACTTTTCCTTTGTTTAGCCAATAACTTTTTCTGGTGTGGTCTTTGGGGTGTTTTTGATTGATATTGTAATAAATATTGAAAAAACACACAGACAGAGTGCAGGCAAATTTAGGAAAAAAAAAAAACATTGTTTACACTCCTCCAAAATAACTGACTTGCATAAAATAAAAAGAGAATCATAAACAGTGTTTAAAATTTGGCAGGTCTTGCAGTACATTGTAATATTACATATATTGAATCATATTACAGTTTAAAAATTTATTTACAGAAGGAAAGAATTCACTTTATCATGAACAGACAGAGAGAATAAAGTGAAAGTAAATGGCTTTCTTCGACTGATATAACCCTCTCTGCCCAGGCATCCTTTAGAGTGCATGTCTCGAGAGTTTTAGTGAGTTACATTCAAAATTTAATTGAACTACTTATTGATTTGTTTATGTCATAACAATTAGTATAGCATAAAATCATAGCTAATAAGCCAAAATTTTAATAGTATACAAGTTTTAAGTTAATTTTATAAGGCTATATTAAAAAATATCCCAAATTTCCCCCAGTGTAAGAACTGTGACATTGTTTCTCTAAGCATTCCCTCTTCAGTAATTTAGTAACCACCCCTCCAATAAGTGTGAAATTTAATGTACGTTACTCACAATAATATCGTCAATGCTCAGAAAAAGCTAATGTTTATTAGCCTTCAATCTTGTTTAGTTACAGAACCATCAAACAGAAAATCAGACCCCTCCTGCCACAACCACCTGTCATCCTTTATTTCAGGATTTGTCAGTAGTTCTCTCTTATGTTTACGACTATATTAATTATAACCAATAGTACGCCTTGGACCTTGTTAAAATCTTATGTTACAATATCAAGTGATTTGATCACTGACTAATGAAAAACAGCTGTAAAGAAAGTTTAATATGATTCGATACTATGAATAGAGCAGGAATTAGACTATCTTGCTAATTAGAGTAAATATATATGTTTAATTTTTCATAGTTTCTGCCCTTTCAGTAACTTTAATTTGTGAAATGTGAAAGCGCTTGTATGTTTGAAAGCTAAGGAAATTTTCCTCAGTGACAAAAAGTCAGATAACTTAGGATAAGGTAAGCTTATACATTTTACATATGACTGAAAGGTAACAAAGC